CAATCAATCAATCAATCAATCAATCAATCAATCAATCAATGCATTTGCATACAGAATGGCAGGTTTTCTGGGTTAGACCCACACTCACCTTTTTTTTTTTTTTAATAATTATGTAGAATTCTTTAAGTGCAGCTTTCCAAGCCTATGTTGTGTGGTGTGGTGCCTCTGTTGAATATCTTCCTCCTGTGTAACAGTAAATACTCCTGCTGAATATGGGGGGGGGGGCTTTCTTTCAATATCATAAGGGAACAGATGTTTCTGTCCCTTCCCAATATCTCTGGATTTGATGTTCTTTTTCCTATCACAAGTGGTAGGAGGCAAACTTGTTCCTGAAAGGCAACCGAAAAAAGAAAGAAAAAAGAAGGGAAGGGAGCAAGGGAGAAAGGAGAAAGCACTTTCTTCCAGTGTTTCAGCCTTTTCTGGATCACTGCTAGCCACTGGCAATTTGAGAAAGGAATTTAGGATTTTTGTTTCAGCATTAACTATTTCATGTCTTCATGAAGTCACCTTCCCCAATCTTATGCCTTCCAGACACGTCACACTACAGCCCTTTTCACGTCAAGCAATCATCATCTGGAAGGTGTGAAAGTGAGTGTAGGGCTGTGTGCAGTGGAAGGTTGGCCATTCAGAGCATGCACCGCCCTGAACTCACGCTGTAACAGCAACAAACAATTTCCTTAAAGGTCTTTCTCATCTCCAGACTCCGGAAAGCGTATATAAGAGGATCAATGACAGAGTTGCACATGATAAGAACCAAGTAGGTGTTGAAGTGAGAAGTGTAGCAAAGGCAGTGTGGGTTGGTGGGGCAAGAAATGATGAGGATGAGATGGAGGAAAAATGGTGCCCAGCAGATGATGAAGACTCCCAAAAGAATAGTAATAGTGACAGCCCCTTTTATGCAGGTATGCTGGTGGGGGACTCCATCCACTGGGAGGGCTGCAATGCGCTTGACATGCAAGCGTGCAAACAGGAACATATGAATATAAAGCAAGGCCATGAAGAAGAGCATGGTAAAGAACATGGCGATGAGGCAAACAATGACAGTTTTGCTCTCATAATAGGCAATGAACATGATACCACAAAAAATGCAAGTTATCCAGATAACCCCAATGAGTGCCAGAGCCTTCCTCACAGTCATGATACTGTGGTACCGGAGTGCATAGAGAATGGTAATGTACCTGTCGATTGCTATGATCAAAAGGTTGCAGATGGAGGCAATCAAAGAGATACAGATCATTGAGTCAAAAACATTGTCCATGTTCTGGATGAAGTGGTCATCAATGGTTAAATAGCCACTGCTCAGGATGGCAATCATGATGGTTTCCAAAGCATTGGACATACCCATTAGTATGTCTGCTGCTGCCAGGCTGCAAAGAAAAAAGTACATAGGTGAATGCAGGTTGCCATTCTTGATCACTGCAAGGATGACGAGGACATTCTCAAGAAGACTGATGATGCCAAGTATCAAAAACACCTCAGCTTTAATGAAGACTTGCTCACAGAATTCATTATCACCTCTGCTGCCAAAAACTGAATTGTTGACTTCTCCAGTGGCATTAACCAAGACAGGTTGAAACGTCGGAATCCAGGGTACTGTTGTGTTCATTGTGAAGAGCAGAGATTCAGGCTTCCATGCATTTATGGGAAAAAAACTTAAAAGGGAAAATCCACCAGAAATCCTCCTGTACCTTTTATTGGATGAGATCAGTTGTAAAAAAAGAAAAAAGTCTTCTTTATTCAGTGCAGAGTTCTGAGTCCATCGATCCAAACAAGTTAGTTCATTTGTGCTAGTAAAATTTGAGGAAACAGCAAATGCTACAGATATCTCTCAAAGAAAGAGATAAAGGTGGCAATTAAGCATCTCTTTCAAAAGAATCCCTTTGTTGATTTAGCATGACTGGCTTTGTCATCTGGTACTTTCTCTTGGGACCTCAGCTCAGTCAAGGCAGTTCTTCTAGCTTCATCGGTAAGGATAGAACAGGAAACAGACAGACAGACAGACAGACAGGCAGGCTTGCTCTGGATTTTATACTTTCATCAGTGGAGAGAAAACACTCCTACTCAATCATCTGTGACTCACGGTGGCCACTAAAAGGCAACTACTGCCTTGACTGACAGTTACCATCGCAGGCTGCATAATCCTTGTTGCTCTGCAATTCAAAACTACTTAGTGCCCTCTGGAGACCAGAGAGAGAATATGTATAACATTTTTTAGCCTTGTATGAGTCTGTTACACAGAAGAAGAAGAAGAAGAAGAAGAAGAAGAAGAAGAAGAAGAAGAAGAAGAAGAAGAAGAAGAAGAACCCCTCACAGCTATAGAATATAAAGGAGAACATGTGGCAAACATATAATTAACAGATAAACTTCATCTACTGTACAGGTGTGCCACAATGTCTTCCTTAAGATTGTTGTCACATCAAAACATTCTAAGGAGCTGCCAAATTTTCAAGATAACATTGCATCAGCATTGACTATCCAAACACATCTGAGGAGTAACAATGAGCTTGCTCATTGATATGCTACACAAAATACACCATTTCTTGATACTGTATATTGTTGTAATTGCTATAGCAGCATCCTCCCCCTCCAACCCCGTCCCCCCAAGCTCTCTTGTGCTTTATTTTTATACATACATTCAGTCAGATCATTTGATGCATCTGATCTGTCTTAATCATATGGTTCCTTAGATACATCACAACTGATGTTGATTTATGTTGACTATTGATTGACTGTGGAATGATGGTTCAGGCATTAAAAAAATGAAAAAATCTGAAGCCTTTGGGAGAAAAAGTTCCATGTATTGATATACAGTAGAAATGGTACTGTTGAAAGGTACCAGCAAGGTATTACCTTTGGTATTGCTTAAATACTAAAACATTATCATCATCAACATCATCATCACCAACAAGAATATTACTGTAATTAGATTTATGTATAGCCGTCCACTCCAAAAGACTCTGGCTGGCTTACAACATCCAATATATAATTTAAAACAATTAAAAACCTAATAACAAAGCATAATTTAATAAAAGTACAACAGGACAAAAATAGCTATAGTAATAAAAAAAATGTGACAGGGACTCCACTGACACACACTAACAGGCCTGAGGACAGAATCAGCACTTAAGAGCCTGGTGGAACCCTGGTGCGTACATATCTCTGAGGGAATGCTATTCCAGTGGGTGGGGAGCATGACAGAGAAGGCAGACTTTCTTGGTCCCATAAGATGACAGTGTTTAACTGAAGGGACCGGAAGTGCACCCACTCTGCCAGAAGGTACCAGGAGGGTATAAATGATTGGAGACAGGTGGTCCTACAGATAACCAGGCCACATGCTATCAAGGGCTTGACCAGCATCTTGAATTGCACCCGGCAGCCAACTAGTAAGTTCCTTTGTAGCTGCCACCTGAGCATCTTCTCTACAACCTTTCTCCAACACTAAATCACACTGCAACTTCCTTGAGACAAAAAACAGGTCTAATGTGCGACCCCTGGTATGCGTCAGACTCTCTTGTTACCTGGGACAGGTCCATGATTTCCATGGAAACCCAGACTCAGTGTTGTCAGATGTCAAATTAAAGTCCCCATCAGCCCCATGGACTCCAGTACCAACCCAGCAAAAGAATCCAACAGCTCAAGCAGGGATGGTACAGCAGCAGCACTCCCAACTCTTCCAAGAGGCCCAATTTCAACCAGAGGGTCTCACATACAGTTATCTGCAGAGCAGTCACTAAGCACCATCAACAACTTGTGAATGTCAATAGCCACTGCCCCCTCCCCTGGGGTCTCGACTGATGTAAAACCTGAAACCCAGGTGGGCATATTTCAGAGAGGGGAAGACCCCCCTTGGGGCCCACTCAGGTCTCAACTATACATGCTAGGTCAATGCCTTCATCCACAATCAAATCGTGGATGGAAGCAGATATACTATATATCAACCTGGCATTCAATTCAAAAGCAGCAGCCAGAGCCCAGGGCCACCAAGAATCCAGTTATCTGGTCTCAAGGGTGGATACTGAGGGAAAGAAGTCAGGATAGCTCTCAAACAGCTCTCAGGGCATCCCAGAGGAGGCCCACCTTCAGATTCCCACCATATTTACCCCTGCCTGTCACAGTTCTAATAATACCACTTGTCCTTGCATCTCTCCCCAGTCTACCCCCAGCCTTGATTCCTCTGTCCTAGACCTGCTGATCCACCTCCCAACATCCAAAATTACACCCACCCACACCAAACACCACCAACAAACAGCAAGCACCCACCCCTCACCACCACCTCCACCACCACTGCCTGCTTGGTCCCACCACATGGAAATATTGGAGAACAGTGTGGCAGGAAGTTTATATGAAGAGCTATTTTCTAGATTATTCTAGATGAGCACTCCCAACTAGGAAAGTACTCATCCAAAGTATTAGATAGCTCTCTTCATCACACCCAGCAGGGATGGCCATAGTCCAACATATATGGAGGACATCATGTTGAGGAAAGTTAGTCTTGGTAAAGACAATGTATACTATGACTTTATCACATTAAACTGCCTTATTTCCACCTCAGACTATTAGCTGTGAAGGTGAGGGAATGCTGATGACAGATGTTGGAAGTATTCCTTCCCTATGGTTCATTCCCTGCTCAGGTCAGACACCAGACAGCATAATTCAGAGTTCAAAAATTTATTTAGCACACAAGGCAAAAGTCTTGAGTGCAGGCGGCCCCATGCAAGGGATGCAATACCCTTTCACAGTCAGGTATAAACAACTAATTTGTGCATGCCTAATTCTAAAATTCTCAAGTTTAATTTCCAAATAAGGAATAGCCCAGTTTCTCACTTTCTAATTGGTACATCTTGTCTCTCTTGCTAGAAACATAATGGTTTCTTCTCATTCCTTCCTTATCTGTCTATGTGACCCTCTTACTTCTCTATAATGCTGAAGCACTAACTTAACTTCTAAAATGGCATTAGTTCAGCTTTTTAATAACTACTTCCCAACACTCCCCCCTTTGAGCCTTTAAAGAAACATCCTTTAAAGGTTCACCTTTTCTTTATACTTATCATCCATCTTCTGCTTAATTTCCTGAATCTCCATGTGCATAAGCATAGCGAGTTTAGCAGCACAAGGTTTGTAAAACTTTAAAAAGCTAGAACATACAACCAGTAAATTACCTAGACATTGAAAAATATAAATTATTATGAATAGAAAGAGGGTTTTTAACCAGCCAATCTTTGGAAGCCATGGAGTAAGTCTTTCCCATCATGGGCCAAAGCTCCAGCTGATATCATCTTTGGCTACATTATGGAAATTAGATACCATTAGCTGGATCTGATGAATGTCTTCTAGCATGGCACCAGGACTATCTACATAAGAATAACAAGTGCCATTTATCAAAATACATACCCCCACCTTGCTGGGGCAATAACATGTTCAAGGCCATACAGTTCTGAAGGGCAGTATGTGACACTTGAGTTATTTCATTTTGTAACTTCAAGAGAACATCAGCAGTGGCATTTGCAAAGAATTCTAGAGATACTGAAATATTTACCAGTGCCTTTTCAAGCTCTGCTACCCCAGCCAAGGGATCAGCTAGTGAGCAAATCAATGAAAATTGGTCGGCAACTAGATGTCAACCCTTGCAACTAAAGGGTTGGCATCTCTTTTGAATTTATGGGGCCTATCCCAATGCACCCCTCCACCTCATCTTGGGGGAGGTAGGTGTCCCATGACATAGTAGAACTTGATTGCCATCATGTTTTTTGTCCCCCCATATCCCTCTATGCTCCTCAATACAGCACAAATAATGGATAGTGAGAACCACTAGAAGGAGGCAAATCAAAGACAGTATTGAACATAGCAAAACTGGAAATTACAGAAAGAAATAAAGTCTGTAAAGAAATGATCATTGCCGGTATTACTCAAACAGGAGGCAATTGTCTATTCATCTATCCTAACTCACTTCAAAGTCAAAGGGTTGTATGTGTGCTGGGCTGTGGTCAATCACAGCTGGTTTGAGTATGATATATCCGGCCTCCTTTCCTGTCACTTTCACTGAGGAACAGGTTGTTAGTGCAACTGGGCTGTCAGGCACGCACATCTCCAGTGTCTGAAAATTAATCCATGTGACGCAGCTGTAGCCATGGAAACAAAGTTGTAGTTTTCAGATGTTGGAAATTCAACAGAATTCAATTTTGCAGTCCAAAAAGTACAAGGATAAGTCAGTAAGTCCCAAAGTCACATTGTTTGCATTCAGTGAAACCTTGGTGCAAACTCAAAGGATTTGATGAGTATGAGGCTTGTAAAGCAAGTAGCAAATCTCAGGAAGCTATAACACACAGTTTGTGAAAGTACTGTAAATGCTGGGAGGGCATTCCAAAAACTGCAATAAAGTCAAAAAGCCCACCTGACCATTTTCCTATTACCTTAACCTTGCTTCTTTAAATATCAGCCCAACATACTTCCTCAAGCACCAAAAGTCACATACCCATCATCCTTTCCTGGAGCTGATAGGTACCCCCATTTTCCCATTTTTTTCCCCAAAGGCAGACCTTGTTTTCCTGCTACCCTTCTGATTTTGCAATGGTCTTTTTAAATATTTCAATCCCTTTAAGCCAGAAG